GGCTGCGAACCTTAAGGTCAGCAGTTCGAAACTACCAGCTGTTCACGGGAGAAAGATGAGGCTTTCTGCTTCCGTAAAGACTTACATCCTCAGAAACCCTGTACAGGGTTGCTATGAGTCGGAACTGACTCCACGGCACATAACAACAACAACACATACATACACATACATACACATACATACACATATACACACACATACACACACACATACACACACACATACACACATATATATATACACACACATATATTCACACACCCATATACAAATATATATTCACACACATATACACACATGCACGTTTCATACGCATGAATCATATATCATAGGTACATACCATATACATCACACATGTGCAGCACACACGTCACATACATGTATCATACCACACGCACCACATATACATGTGTCATATACATCATCTACCGACATGTGTCATATATGTGTCTCCTGTGTGTCATGTGTATCGTGTGTGTGTGTGTGTATATCTTAGATAAGATGCCATTACTTTGCATCTACTATATAACAATTTGTTATTGTACATATAACGGAGTCAAGGTGTGGTGCTGTGGGCTAATGTGCTGGACTGCAAGGTCGGTTTAAACTGCGAGATCAGCTGTTCAAGTTCACCAGCTGCTCCTCAGAAACCCTATAAAGGGTCACTATGAGTCAGAACTGACTCAAAGGGACGTAACAACAAATATATATACTGCAAAGTCATTAGACTCAAATTCATAAACAGTATAAATAACTAGATTATCCAAATATTTACATGTGACCTCGGAATGAGTTTTCCAAACGTAACTAAATGAGATCATGTCACTGCAGCATTATTAAAATATGCTTCTAGTCAGGAAGTTTCATAATCAACTATTAAACTATATCTTTGATACCTTGCAATACATTTCAATACAAAGCTTGTAAATTTCTTCCCCCCCCCCAAAAAAAAACAAACAAACTAGCATGTAAGATTGAATACATTTCCCCACAGGTATAAGATCAGCAGATTCTTTACCTCTCCAGCATCTGCACATTCCTTGGCTCTTCTGTGAAGTGCAGCCCAAGTATCTTCATACCTAAGAAAAACAAACATAATTTAAACGGTAAAGAACACTAGAAGTAACTTAGAGCCGTACATGAAAAAAAACATCTTCATTAAAAATAGTTTCAGGGGTAAGTATTAGGGCCAATTTGATGGTATGTTGTTGTTCTTAGGTGCCATCGAGTTGACACCGACTCATAGTAATCCTATGCACAGCAGACTGAAACACTGCCTGATTCTGGGCCAACCTAATTGTTGGGTAATTCTACTTGCATTCCACATGCTTTAGAATGACACATGACATAGGTTTATGTTACTGGCACATGATGTATAAAGATGGTAAATAGTCATAGCAAAAACACAGATGGGTCGGGAGGAGAGGAATAAGAAAAGAGTTCTTGTATTTACTAAAGTTAAACTATTATCAATTTAAACTAGACTGTTAAGATGTTAAATGCAATTCTAGAGGAACCCACAATGAAAGTATATTAAGAAGATATACAAAAGGAAAGAAGGAAATCAAAATTATTCACAACAAAAATCAACTAAACCATAACTGTTTACTATTGCAAGACATGACAGAGGGGGGAAAAAATGTTAAGACACATACACACACAAAAGGAAAAAGTCAGACCTTTATTGATAACGACTTGAAATATATATGGATTTACAATGAGAACGAAAATACAACATACCAAAATCTTTGGGACATGGCGAAAGCTGTGCTGAGAGGACAATTTATTGCAATAAACACACACATCTAAAAAGAAGAATGAACTAAAATTAACACATTAACACGGCATCTACAATAATTAGAAACAGACCAACAGAGGGAACCCACAGCCACCAAAAGAAAAGAAATAAAGATCAGAGCAGAAATAAATGAGATAGAAAACAGAAAAACTATAGAAACAATCAACAAGACAAGAAGCTGGTTCTTTCAAAGAATTAATAAAA